CATGAAAACTGTTGATACAAACGTGCGAACTGAAGTACTACTTGAAGTCACCGGTGAATCATCCAAGAAGAAGAAACAGACTAAAAAGGAGAAAAAAATGAATCTCCAAAAGTATCAAAGGCTAAAGAGGTTACGAAAGTGAAGTCTGCTTCCAAACCTGCGAATGAGATTTTACCGACTAAGTCAGGGGTCCTAAAGAAGCTACACAAGGTGTCACAAAAGAAGATCTCCTCTCCTACTATTCATAAAACTGAAGTGAGTAGTAAGGGGGCCATGTTTAGAGAAATTTCCACTCCTGTTTCTCCTATGTCAAAGAAAAGAAGAGCTCAAGAAGTTGCGAAGCATATTACAAAGAAGATGTACAAGAAGAGGAAGATGATAATTCAAACTGAGTCTTCTGATGAGGAAGTGGTTTCTGCGAATCCACTAGTTTCAATGGTAAATATTTCTCTTCCCATTACTTTGCAAATTTCCACCAACATAAACATTCCACTCGAAGTAGTCACTACCAAATCAGTTTATGAGGAGGTACCTGCTTCTGATATGGTTGTTAACGTATCTGATACGGGGACACCTATCAAGAGTATTGAATCTTCACTACCCATTATTTATCTACTTCATTACCCATCTCATCTGAGACTTTCTCTACTTCATTACCACCATACATTCTCCTAAATACAAATGTAACGACATCATCCATCTTTGATCATCCTTTACAAAATCCCTTCACTACATTGTTTCTTTCACAATCCCCTGAACCAATACAACTTCCATCTTTGCAAGCTCAATTTGATGAAGAAACCGAAGGAGGAGGTTTTGGAGGAACGTTTGACGCTTTACACTTTGATTCGGAGGAGGAGGAAATTCATGATCATATGCTTATGTCAGGAAAGCAATTTAAAATCCTGAATCGAAAGTTGAATGCAATCATTCAATCTCAACCTGATTCTGGAACAAAGACTTCTGTATCACATTCGGAGGTTGAAACTTTCCTCAAATCTACTGAGAAAAGAATAGTTGGGATAGTTGATAAGTCTGATAAGAATAATGAGCTTCGCATTCAAGCTGAAGGAAGTCTTTTGACAATGTTGTACAAGAATTGAAAGTTGCTACAAAAGAAAGACATGTTCTTTTTGTACAAGATGTGAAGAAGGTTCGTGAAGATGTGAACTTCAAAGTTGAGGAGTTAAAGAATGAGATTGAAAAAGAGCTTCAGCAGCTTAATTCGCAAAATGTGGATGTGCAAAAGCGTGTTGATATTGTTGTTGTAGCACTTACCAAAATTGCTACTGATTATTAATCATCTGCTCCACTTATCGAAGCCAAATACAAAGAAGTTCAGGAGCAGTTCGCAAAATTAATTCTAATGGTTACTCAATTAAAAAGTTGTGTTTCAACAACTTCTCAACAATCAATTCTTACTCCAGAATTTTTAACACTTAAAGTCAACACTTTGGAGCAAGCTATACATAAAGCCTTGGCCCCGATCACCAATTTTACTTCCATATTGCCAAAGAATTCCCCACCTGCTTTCACAGGAGTGCAAGGGGGAGAAAGAAAAGGAAGAAAAGATGATGATGCGAAAATAGTTGGAAAGATACATTCCACTCAGCTCAAAACAACTCTGCCAGTACTCACGAAACCAATTCCTTCAACAATAGTAACAACAAAGCCATTCACAAAGCCAATTCTCAAGGGAATTATTATTGGTTCAACAGAAGGAGGGAGTTCAAGTGCGAAACCTCAACCACTGAATACTGCAAAAGGTAAAGAGGTGGCTTACAAAAAGTCAAAAGAAGAAAGGAAAGCAGAGATTGAAGCAGAAATGGAAAAGCAAAGGCAAATTCAAAGCATTTTAAGGCAAAGAGCAAGTGATCCACCAAATTTGAACAAAGGTGATCCTGCGAAGTTGTACTCATATGAAATAATTCAAAGTCTTGGGTAGTCATCTGTATGAGTTTGAGAAAAAGCCCAGAAGAAGTTATGATGTTGCAAATTCAGACAGATGCCAACTTGACTTTCCGATTAATGAAATGATTTTTGTCATTGCGCAGTACAAGATCAATGAAAAATTCAAAAATGCTGATGAATACACTTTAATGAAAATCAGATTTCATGTTGTACTTGCAAAGGATCAAGACGAGGTTTGGTCATTGATAAAGATTAAAAAAGTGCTTACTATTAAGAAGGATGAACTGTTCGAGAACATGCTTCAAAATTTTCGATACTTTGTTGTTCGAGCAGATAACAAGCCTGTTGATTTTACCGTTGCTGACTTTCCCTTGATGAATCTAAATGAGCTCATTCAAGTGGCTCTTATCGTGAAAGAAATGGAAGAAAACAAATTCAACGGATATGATACAAATGTGTTCAAATTTGGTTTCGCACATATCAAGTATTTCATAGATAACTACTATGATTGCTTGGCGTTAACTGATGAAGAACTCACATCAGTTCATGGTAGACAAGTCACTGTTCCTTGGGAATCCACACTACCTCAAACAAAATTGAAGAAATATGCAGACGGGGAAATATGCCTTAAACCTTTTGGCATGGTTTTTGCAGGCAAAGATACCAAGGGGAAGCCTAAAAGATTTTTGTTTCAAGTCTCAAAGATTGAAAGATACACCACTTCGCAATATATGAATTTCATTGTTCGTATGAATAATTGCACAAAGAATAATGAATGAGACAGGAAGGAGCTTAAAAAGATCATTACTTGGTATTCAGAAATTCGAAGAACGATGCACTCAACTGTTCAGAATTTAACAACCTGAATAGCTTCGATTATTTACAAAGGGGGAGAATGTAGAGTCTAGTTTTTGTAAAAGTCGAAGTGTTTAGTTTGAGTTTCGCATGTTAGTTATTTTACTAAGTCTTCATTTGTGCGAAGCATTTTGTTCAGGACTTAGTATACTTTTTGTACACTCATGTTTCCTATAAATAGGGACTGAGGTTAGAAGTAGAGACAAGTTTTTCTCTGCTTAGTTTGTAATCAGTTTCTTCATCAATATAAGATCTGATTAATATTTACTCCTTGTGTTCTTACTTTTCATTCATATAATCATGATTGCTTTCTAAATCTCGATTACAATTCTCATCATAAAATCTACATTTATGTGAATTAAAAAAGAAAGGTTGTTTTTACACCATTTGTTGAAATGAAAGTAAGCCGCAAATATGATCCTAACCACAAGTAGATTGTTAGTCTTCCCACTTTAAAAGTGAAGCTTAGATTGTGGAATCACTTAAAGGTCATGAAAGTAATTGTAAAACTGTGCACACTGACCGTAATATCTGTAAATATAAATCAAGAACTTATCAAATTAACAAATAAATAATTTAGGAAATTAAAAAAAAATTACTTTGCTTGGTCAATCTTGAATTTCTCCTAGCAATAATTTCAGCAGCCCAACTCTTGCCAATTTCAGTTTGAAACCTCCATGTAGTACAACCATCATTGCATAACTTACAACCGTAGATTACCCATGAATACGTAAAGACAAAAACCCAATTTATCCTTATTTTATTTGTGAAAAAGGAAAAATATTACCAGCTGTTGAGAGGGAAAACTCATCTAAAATTCTATCATGTTCTGCAATAAAATCATCACACCACAATCTCAAAAATGAAATTAATATCTTTTTAGAGAAATACAATAAAGAATTTGATGAATTTTTCTTTTTGTTTCATGACCAAAAATTACTTGTTTCATATTCCAATGCTTGAGCATTATCCTTATATTCTCTCCAGAGTTGTTGAATTTCTTCAGTTGTCATTTGTAATATACGTGTGAAATGTTTCTTGAAATTAAGCCAAAAATGATTTACATAAGCGTACTTTCAAACTTAAATAAAAAAGGAAAGAAATAATGAAATAATGTTTAAAAAAAAGTTGGGAAATAAAAGCAAAGTTAGATGCTATAATTTCATAAGCAAATGAGAGTATATTGCTATTTTTGCATTTTTCCTAACCAAGATTGTTAATTTTAGATTAAAGTCATTAAGCACCCAAGCCTTAGCTTGACTCCTTTTTAATTTTTAGATTACGTTTATCTAATTGGAGTTCAAAATCTCAAAAAATAGATGACTAATCCAATAAATCTGATGGTGAGATTATATGTTTTTGTGTGTGAACATGGTGCATTCTGTAACCAACAAAGGTTGCATAAAAACGAAAGCAGATCCATGAAACAAAATACCAATCTATAGATCACATAACAATTTAATTTAACTTGTACTTGAGCATGAAGGCAAGGTAAACCCTCCAAGATCCTAAATACCATATACTGAAACCCATCAGTATGTGTGTGTGTGTGTGTGAGAGAGAGAGAGAGAGAGAGAGAGGTAATAAAAATTAGATGAGTAAAACGGTAACCATCGAAATATCGCCATTACCAAAAGAAGTCATTGTGCTCCCCATTTTAGTTTTAAAGCTCCATATAAGAAGAGACATTAGAGAAGTTTTTGCCACCACTTAAGATCTGGCAATAACCTGCATCAATAGGTGATTTAAAGCGCAACAAAAATGGGATGTAATAGTAAAAATTGATTCCTATTTAAATTACATTCAAAATAAATTTTTATTTCTTATCTCACAAAGTTTATCAAATAATTTTTATTTGAGCATTAGTTATGTGAGTTGCACCAGGGTAGTTCACAAAGAACTACTTATCATCCTGAAGATCTATATACCAAGGGTAAAGTGGTTATTTTCTCATATTTAGACATTAATTTATTTATTAACTCACCGAGTTTGTTATAATCCTCTTGTCCTGTTAACAAAATGTCAATTTCTCACCATTAATATATTAATTAATAAAAATTATTATGGGCTTTTTGTAAAATGGTTTAATTTTGTGTCAGTTGTGTCAATTGGACAGGTGTTACTAGAGTAAACAACAATCACATCACAAATTACCTACATAAGGATCTGTAAAGAAGTCATTTTATTTCCTTCAATCACCATTGCAGGTTCTATTTTTGGTCTTTTTTAAAGATCTAAAATTGGGTGTGGTAAATCTGTATGATATAAAAGAGACATCATTAGAGTATCGAGACTCATGCCAAATTATCCAACAAATTACTTATCTAGCAATGTACAATTACAAAAAAAGATCGTGCAACAGTAACATTTACCTTATTTCGAGATTTAGGACCCTTTGTTGCGTCGCTTTTCTCATCTCTTCCATCTTCAAGTACTAAATTATCAAGATGTTCATCACACTCATCCAATTCCCTCGAGTCAATGTCATTGTTTCTTGGATTTTTTTCATCCATTGCTCTGTTTGCTTCTTTCCAGTCTTCTTCAACGAAGTACACAAATTCAGACCAAGGCTGAGAAATTAGTCGTCAAAGGCATGACGAGATGTAAGAGAAAGTACGCTAAGAATTTAAAAGGTTCAAACGATTTTGCGTAACATGTACACACATGTCAACCCTATATCTCAATAGTTATATGGTTGATTCCATGGATCCAATTTTAGGTATGAATTACTGTTGTTCAACTTTTAAACAAATAAAAAATAATTGATGTAATAACTTTTCTCAAATATTTAACAAATGTTTTTATCTATCGATCAAGTATCAAGAATGCATATCACAATCAATATTACAAATATGTTCTAATGATCAAGAAATGACATTTATGGATTTGGAAAACAAAATTTTCAGAAAAAGAAAATATTGCATGTGTTGGGACAATATATAAAATATCATATTTTTGGACATACATGATTATTTGATGTTATAACAGTCTTGTAAACTCATTTAATTCCACAAATACTAATCTTTAGTGTAATTTGATATAAATGGAGATCTTAATAGACATCTTTATTCTAATACATATACAAGTAGAATATTTTTGTATATATATACTTTATAAGTAATAGGAAAAAGCTTAACATAATGTTTTGAGCTCATACATGAGTTTCAACTTTCATTACCCGACCGAGTCGACTCATTTCCAACCAACTTTTCACGATCAGCCTCAGGAATTCCATTTTCATCAAGAAATCTATAATCCCCATCTTCAGGCTCTTTAAGTTCATGATCGTTTGACTTCTTAGTCAACACTTCTGCTGCTATCGATTCCTGTTCTTAGACACTATCATTGAGTTCACCGGAATTATTCATTGTATCATATAGGATCACTTCTGAGTTGACTCGGTGAGTCGACTTCAGTGGTGTGACTCGCCCTTTTCGTCCCAATATGTTGGAAATTCGTTGGTTGTTGAGATGGATTGAGAAGATCTCACTAGTGACACTCTTCTTTGTGGACAATTGCTTGATCTGGTATAATAACCAAATGCCGAAAGCCATAAACAATGTAAAACGGAATGTTTGCATAGCCATTGATGATTTTAGGAGAGTGTTCTTGAAGCTGAATCCATAGTTCATTGTAATCAATCACTTTTTAAGCTGGATTTTCCTACAGAATTTCAGGAAAACGAATTAGATGCATTATATAGGATCGATTGGTAGCAAAGCTTGCCATTATAAGCTCCCAATCAAGAATCATGAAAAAGGAGAAGCAATAACAACGCGATCTTACACACACAGTATAATGAAATCGAAAAATAATATTATCAGATGATCATCAAATTGTTTTTTTGTTACTTCATTAATGGCTGTAAACTCAAATCAAACTACAATACATCGTTCATGTTCTATAAGGAATATTCCTACACTGTAATTGCTCACAAACAAAAACCCTAAAAGTACTACAGTATACTGATCAAAATCAAAACAATCATAGAGGAATCCTAAAATTACTCTAGAATTATCGAGAAAAAGGAAAAAAGATGCTCAAAGCAACTTTACCTCTGATGTACGAATGGAGTAGAGTTCGATTGCCAAGTGAACGCCCAAACCCTAAAAAAGAAATCGACTATATATTCTTGTGAAATATTTCAGGAGATTTGTTGAGGAACCCTTTGAACAAATGTGGAAATATTAGATTTTGAAACCAAAATTAAATGGAAAATAAACGGTCATGGAGTGTTTTTCTTGTGTTTTCTGTTGCTCGGAGTATTATATTCTACGTTTTTTTGTGGTGTCCAAACATTGCAACATTTATTCAACCTTACCGTTCGTATCGCCCCATGAAAGAAAGTCCAGTCTCAACGTTTGTGAGCTTCAAATCAGAACAACACATTGATTCAGCGGACGGTGGAGAAGAAGAAACAATGACCAATCGATGCGTATCTTCTTAGGATTCTCATCTGACTCTGTGGGTAGGACTCTGCCGATGACCTGAAACTGATTGAACTACACCATATACAAACACAATTAATTTCAATCATTTCATAAAACCTTGACTTGGAAGAGATTCGAAATCTATAAAGAACGACGACGAACGATTTGTGTTTACCTTGAAAATTTATATGTGGAGCAACGGCGCAACACCATCACAACTCCAACCTACTACCCCCGCCGTCAGCAGTAGCAGCAACGCCGACGTCGGTTCATTCAGATGTGAACAAAAGCATGCCGATCAGATGATGGATGATTGGAAGAGATCAATCAAATGAAGTCGATTTCTTTGAGTAATTTGATTCATTATGTTTCCCGTCTTGTCCTCTCAATATCTCCTTCTCGATTTCATTCTGTCCCACTATCAAACTTGAAGGCCCAAACCAACCTGCTGATAAAAAATCAAATGAACGATCAAGAGTTAAAACATGATTTAGGGAACAAAATCAGTCATTAAAAAAACAGAAGAAGATAAAGAGGGTTAAGACTGATCCTAGACCTGGAATTTTGAGAGTGAAATTACCACGGTCAACGTTCGTAATTGTGAGAGAAGTCATCATTCTTGGTGAAGGTGTTTTCTTGTTTGTATCCCTGGCAACCGGGTTTGAGGTAGAAAAGATAAAGGATGAGAAAATGTAAGGCGGTTTGTCCTTTCCCCTAAGAAATAGAAGTTTCAGTGCCAAAATAAGAAAATCAAAAAACCTTCGTGTCAAAATATGAAAGAGAAAAAAAGTCACTGATCCCCAACATTTTAAGCTTTTATGTTATATATAATAGTCATAAAACTTTAAAAAAAAATGTTAAAAGTATCTAATGCAAAAAAAAAAAAAAACATAAAAAAAACATAAAAAAAATCAAAGATTATATTCATGTTAAAATAGTTTCTTTCTATAGATCAAAATTTGTTTATTGGGGTAATCTCATGACTCATTTGCAACCTTATTGGCATTGCAAACATGAGTCATCAACTCCCAAAAACAATTCTCGTGTACACAAAAAATTTCCAACATTTTTTCATATTTTATAAATAACATGGAAGCATAAAGTAGATGATCGCTAATTAGAGACAATAATGAAAATGTTTCATATTCAGAATCTGAATATTGTTATGAATTATTATTTAGTGAATGACTATTGGATTCTCCATATCCCCCATTACTCTCCATAATTAGTGAACATTATGAGTTTTATGAGTGTAGTTATGCACCATTATAATGTGCAGTCATATCATACATGACCTTTCATCTTCTTTGTTTAGTATAAATAGTGAATATTATGTATTGTAAAGTTTGATGATTTCATCACAAGTATTGGAATAGAAGTTCTCTTTACTCTCATGTCTTTCTTTACTTTATCATTTATCTTGTTATTTGACCATATTTTATAACACGTTATCAGCACGACTCTACCATAGAGCTCTAACTCTTTGTCGCTCTTGTCATTTTCAGGTATGTATATTTTATAATTTCACATGTACAATGATTACGTATTATTGTATGAAATTTATTAACTAAGAATTCCTAAAGATACAAGTCTTTATTTTGATTAGTATTTTCACTATGGAAAACTATATTATGTTAGACAAAATTTTCTCTACTTTTCATGCCACCAACATGCTCCTACAGCAGCAATATCATGAGAAAGATTTAAAAAAGAAACTGAAATAATCTCATGTCTTCTTGTGGCTAAACAAAAAAAATTATTGATGAAAAATCACCAATCAATCCTAACCGGTTCTAGTGCATTCCCTAAAGTGAATGCAACATTATATAATCATAATAGTCATGGGTCTAACCGACGTCGTGGAGGTTACCATAATTATCATAAAACTAACAAGATTACAAATAACCACCAGAAGTTAGAAAATGAAAAAATCCACATCCTAATGATAAAGTGGTCAAGGGAAAAAAAAAGGTTGAAAATGTTTGTCATTAATGTGGAATGACCGATCATTGGTCTTGTGCATGTCGTTTGCCAAAGCATTTTTTTGATCTTTATCAAGCTTATCTAAAATATAAAGAAAAATAAAATATTAAAACAAATTTTATTCAAAGTGATATTCATGAAGATTAACCAGAAATGACACATTAGGCAAGTATTTGATCCGGTTGTGCATGGTCCTTTTGGGTTGCCTTCACCATAGCAACTTGATGGATGATTTGTTAAGAGAGAGTAAATATTATAAGGAATAATATATGGTTATTTGATTAATATATGTCATAGATTAATTGGAATTAATTTGGTGACTTAAAGAGATTAATTAAATAAGAGGGTATAAACTGTTAATTGTTTGATAGTTACACTTTAGACTATAAATCCTTATCCATGATAGGATAGACGATTTCTAGGGCTTGGATAAGCCAAAATCGTCCATAGGGTTATCAAGGAAAGGATATGGATCAACTTAAAGTCTAAGTTATCCAGTTAGGGTTAAAGCTGTAATCCTTAAGGAGTCTACAAGTATAAATAGACTCTAGGGGTGAGGGAATTCGACACATCATCAAAAGTAGAGATACTCTAGCCAAATTCCTCCCCTCTCCTCTCTCCTAAATCATCTTACTTGCTATTGGTGTTTGTAAGCCATTAGAGTAGTGACATTTGTGACTCTAGAAGCTCCAAGACAACAAGATCAACAAGGAATCCAAAGGTATGATTCTAGATCTATTTCAATGTTGTTATTTAACCTAATTAGCCATTAGAAGTCTTGGATTCGAAGCATGTTTAATTAGAAAGCCTAGATCCGAGCATTAGGGTTTTGAATGCGCACATAGGAAAGTTCTTATGGCTAAAACCCATCAGTGGTATCAGAGCCTAGCTTGGTTTTCTTTAAATTGTTGCTTGATTAACTGAAACAAACCTGCAAAATTCATTTTTTGGGTTTCTGAGTCATGGACTCGGCGAGTTCCAAAGTGGAATCGGCGAGTAGGCCTAACTCGGCGAGTCCCTTTGTGTACTCGACGAGTCCGGGCGTCAGGATTAGGCAAAACCGGGATTTTTTTCATGTTTATCTTATGGAAACTTACCTTAATCATATTAGATCAAGCCTAATTCGATTTTTTGATATATATGACTATAATCTTGATCTAATTAAAGATATTTATCATCTAATAAAATATTTAATTTACTTATATGATAATTGATTAATTATTTTGATAATTATCTTAAAAGAAATCTTGGATAAATCAAATAAAGATAATTAGGATATTAATTGTTAATTGGAATTATTTGTTATTTAATCCTCCATGTTTTAAATGTTTAAAACTTGCCCTCAAGTTTTGAAATTTATATTTGTGATTAAAAGGTTTTGATTTAGACAACTTAAATTTCAAACCCTACGTTTTAAAAGGTTTAAAACACAACCTTATACTAATATGATATTACTAGAATAATATATATGTATAACTAAATGCTAGTGTTACCGTTAGTAGGCCTCATTCACGAAGCCGATCTATAAGGTGGGTATAAGGTTGCGGCCTATAAAATGGCGCTTAATGGGTGTACACTCACACCCACCGCTTGCTTGATTGGTGGAGGGTCGTTAGCCGAACGGGTAGGATAGGGAAACCTCATCCTCTCATTAAAAGTATAATAAGAAATACAAAGTAACTACACATTTTAAAAATTTCCCAATCTTAGTTACTTTAGGAAAAGTGAATTGATGCAATCCCATGAAATTACACTTTGCACCCTTGCTAAGAAGTTAGTGGAGCGTGTGTGGTTTACCGGCACACTAATTGGTTCTAAGCAAAGGTGGCAAAGGGTGATTCATTGTTTATCATAGTTCGATGGAGTGTGTGTGGTTTACCGGCACATCGAATAGGTGATCGTTACAATGAAGGCACCATGTGAATTTGCATGGTAATTCACACACGCTTTGTGATCCTCGGCATCCCAGTCACAAACAAGAGGGGCATATCGAGATTTAAACATGCCATTGAATAGTTCAATGAATCTCATCCGAACCTAGGAATTCTCAATACACTTAGGACTAATAGTCTAGGTTTTGTAATGGAGAATTAGTGAATCGTCATTCACTTACCTTCAATTTATTTTCATGTTAGATTACGGCATCCCTTTTCTAATATGTAAATGTTATTGTT